CATATAATGCCCAATACAGACAAGTTTGAAGAGTTCCATTATTTGTACATTGTGAATATAATGACTACCAAAGTATTCTAACATACATTATTTATAGCTCTCAAATCTAATATTGAATAATGTAATGCATTAAAATGTAGAATATTGCAAAATAGCTTCTATTTATATTATCTTCATCCAAAATTCTACAGATACTTTGGAACTGACTGAAATAGCAGTTTGTATTTTCTTGATATATTTCATGTCATTTCTTGTACCTGTGATACTTATTGAAACTACTTTTTGCTTAACTCTCAGGATAACATGAAAATAGTAAAAGCTAGCAGCACATATAAGAAAAGTTAAATGTAAGAAGAGCAATGCAAATTTGGTAAATTATGAAAAGAATTGGGAATATGGAAATTTGCATAATTGGTAATTACATATTTACTTGTAGGAATTTCATCCATCTTTCAAGGACTAGCTGTTTGTAGTCTTCTGTGATCTCATGTCTATCATCTGAACTACTATAGCATTTTGTCTCTCTCTTTTTGTTCTTGTCACAATTTAATCTTATAGTAATTTTTGTGAACAGTCCTTTTTATTAATACTGGTTTCTGATGGAAACTTTTGTTTTTTTTTTTAAACTTGCAGGGATGTTAAGTCTAATTTCATCTTAATGAATGACAACATGTAGTGCTCACTGTTCAATAAGCACTCAGTTTATAATTACCAAGGAAATTAGTTACAAATTCTGCAAATTTCCATATTCCTAAATCTTTTCATAAGTTACTGAATTTGCATTGCTGTTCTTACATTTAGCTTTTCTTATATGTGCTGCTAGCATTAACTATTTTCATGTTATCCTGAAAGTTAGGCAAAAAGTAGTTTCTTGAATTTGCAGATGAGTTAAATGAAACAATTTAAAGAATGTGAAGAGTGTTATTTATCCTGAGACCTGAACAAAATCTGGAGCTTTCAATGAGGGGAAACAAGAAGACGGAATTGGCAGGTCACTGTCATTATCACTGCTCATGCTTCTTCTCTCCTGCTGCCAGTTATGATTTTGTAGGAGTGGGGATTATGGCATGTTTCTTTGTATGGTCTCTAGCACAGTAGTTTGCTCATTGTCAGTGCTTTAAATGTATGCACAGAATGAATGGGTGAATGAATTTGACATCAGTGAATGTTGCTTTTGGTACCTCAGCCATTCTTTCTTTAATGGCTTTCCAGTTAGCTCAGGCTTCTTTTGCATTTATGTTCTCCTTCCAGTCCCTCATATAAAACTCTCCTTTCAGGAAAGAATTGGAGGACCATACTCAACCCAATATATTAACGGCCAATAAAAGTTAGAGTTTTGTGGTATATGCATTTAAAAGTGTAGAAGTTGGCCAGATGCAGTGGCTTATGCCTGTAATCCCAGCACTTTCGGAGGCCTAGGTGGGCAGGTCACTTGAGGTCAGGAGTTTGAGATCATCCTGGCCAACACGATGAAACCCGATCTCTACTACAAATACAAAAATTAGCCGGGCATGGTGGTGGGTGCCTGTAATCCCAGCTACTCAGGAGGCTGAGGCTGGAGAATCGTTTGAACCCAGGATGCAGAGGTTGCAGTGAGCTGAGATCGTGCCATTGCACTACAGCCTGGGTGACAAAACTGAAACTCCATCCCCCCCCACAAAAAAGAAGTAGAAGTCTTTTCAGATAAAAATTAAAATAAATGTATTAAGTTATATGGGATCCTCATTCATGTTTATACTGGCCTCTAAGCAGTTTTTGTATTACTTGAGGATCCATAAATATACATATTTGGAGATGGTAGATAGCCCTTTATAAATCTTTGCAAAAGTTCTGAGAATTTAGACTTAATAGTGAAAGGGGATGATGGAATGAGTATTTGGAGTAGCTGTCTCTGAAGTAAGAGAAGGGACAAAAAGTTATCAAAAGAAGAATTCTTTTATTCTAACTTGCCTTAAGAATTGCTAGATTCATGGTTTTTGTCCCCCTTTTGGGACTACTAGAAACAATTCAAAGAAATTTTTGCTGTGTAACTGCTATTTAATGAAGTTTGCAATTGTTTTTATATTTTCCTCTGAAGTTACCTCACTGGAATAATTACTGTCAAAAGAAATTCTTATGAATTATGCTGTTTAGTATTTTCACTATGCAGCGTTTGTTCTGGTTTTCTTTTGGGGGAATAACCTGTCTTTCACTTTTGGTTCATGTGGTTGAGGTGGAGCTGCCTTTATGCTCCTGTCATAGGGAGTGGGTATTTCATACTCCTGACAACAGTGATTGGTTCAGAAATAAACATGCTATCCAGGCCAGGCCAGTGAGACTTAATCCTGGGATATTTGCTGGAATTATTGGGAAGGAAGTACTGTCTTTCTAATGAGTTTCTAACCTTGAGCTTCTGATAGTCATCTTTGCCACTGAAGGAGGAGAGCCTTCCTGAGAAAGATGAGGAGAAAACCCAATTTCCTAACTGTACCATTTTAGTACTGTGTCCAGCTATATTAGAAGGCAGAACTTTTCAATTAAGTCAATTAATAAACTACTTTTTGTTTGCCTGTTCATTTATTTATTTATTAGAGTTGGGGGTCTCACAGTATTGCCCAGGTTGTTCTCAAGTGATCCAGGCTTAAGTGATCCTCCTGCCTTAGCCTCCTGAGTAGCCGGGACTGCAGATACATGCCATAGTGCCTAACTAACAAATTATTTTTTAATTAAAAAAAGCTACTTTGAGGTTTTTTTTATTCAGTTACACAACTGAGTGTTATAATGAATACAGCCAAAGTTGCATAACTGACTGCAGAACTGTTATGGTAGATGCATATATGGATATATCTGATTTGGATAAATATTTTGATGTCCATTGGCTCACCTAATATTTGCAATTTATTGTAGTTTAGTTTTCATGAGGGTAAAGGAATATGGGTGATATGATGAAATGCATTACTGTTTATACAAGTATAGTTTTAGCTGAAATAATGTTATTAGGATTGTCAAAGAATAAAATGCAATGAGTTGATATAAATAGATAATAGATAAAACAGATAAAATCCAGACTTTTAGTTTACATTATTTCGAAAGTAGAGCAGATTTATAGAATTTCTATATATAGCCTTCCATATGTAGTCTTTTTCCTAAATAAAAGAAGTTGAAATTTGCTTATATTTTTGAAACTCACTTATTCGTAGCAATTTGTTATTTTCTTAGATACACAGGTTCAACAGGAATTGCAGACAGTACTTTATCTGTCTGTGCTCTTAAGAAATATTCTCTGCTTGTGACATTTTCATATGTTAATCCTTTTCATTAATGTATAATTGTACTTAAGATCAATTTTAATGGATTTGCTTTAAATTAGAGATCTCACTAGTTTGGAAAACAAAACAAAAATGAATATTGTACACATTTTGCTGTTCACCTAGAAAACATAATCTGGGTTTGAAAGAAAATTTATTCTCCAAATACAGCTATGCAAATTCTGCTTGACTTTGGTAAGTCACTTTTAAGGGTAATGTTTTTAATTTAGATTTCTTGCTTTTTTAGGAGGTCTGCATTTTGTTTATGTTTTTATATTGAAATATGCATGTAAAGACTAGGTTGATAGTTTAATTATCTCTCTTAAGCACAGGCTGGACCATTCTGTAGTAAGATTTTATTACTTAAAAAATCCTGACATTTAAATAAGATCCTGTTTTATTATCCATTAAATTAAAAGATGTATATTCTCAATCGAATTTGCTCTTTTTTACCTGGCAAACCTTAAATGCCAAGGTCTTAAGTTGGCAGTTTTTCCCCTAACCCTTATAGATATGTCCCTCAGTTATAAGAGCCTCGGATCTAAGTCCCTTGGGTGTTGATGCTCTCATTAGGAAAAGATTGGGGTGCTAACTAGTTTATGAGAGTAAGGGCCTCATTAGAACAATTTTAAGATCAAGCCAAAATTGAAGAAGCCAATGAACTTTGAAGGTCCACGGGGACAACCAAACATTTGGAATGGCATGCTCACTTAGTTATATGGGTGTAGTTTCTCAGAGGTAGTAGATTTTACAGTTTTACTATCATTCATTATGTAGAATTTCCCCTTTCCTCAAATGACCCCAAATTTGCAACCTAGACCAAATGCAATTTAAAGTGGATAAAATTCCATCGAGGAAGAGCTTTCTCTGACACTACTCCTTTCCCGTCCCTTTAACCCATCTATGTGGTGATTTTTTTTTTCAGTCTCTCACTGTCTATTTATCTCCCTTACCATAAACTGTTCATAGGAGAGTATCACACAGTAATCACATGCACCTTTATTATTATTATTTTTGGTTAAAAGTTATATTAAAACAAGAAAAAAGATAAAATCTCTCATATACTTCCACAGTATATCACCTTTTTTCATTTTTACCTGCTTATTTCCAGTCCTTGTTCATATCTTTTTTTTTTTTTTTATACAGGTTTTCACTCTGTTGTCTGGGCTAGAGTGCAGTGGAGTGATCATGGCTTACTGTAGTTTCGACCTTGTAGGCCCAAGTGATCCTCCACTCTCAGCTCCCCAAAGCAGCTGGGACTAGAGGGGTACACCACCATGCCTGGCTAATTTTTTTTTTTTTTTTTGTAGAGATGAGGTTTCACTTCACTGCCCAGGCTGGTCTTTAACTCCTAGGCTCAAATGATCTTCCCACCTTGGTCTCCCAAAGTGCTGGTATTACAGGTGTGAGCCATTGTGCCTGGCCCCTTGCTCATATCTTTTAAAAACTAATTTAATATAACTGCAATTAGAGCATAGATGTCATTGTGTGTTTTTAATTTAATGTTAAATAATAAATATTTCCCACTGCAAAGAGCTTGTTATGACCTACACAAGCATTTAGGGAAGCCCTAATGTGTCTTACCTTTTTTGGGTCATTACTACCATTTGGGCCTTACTTTATTTTATTATTTTAAACTTATTTAAGATTTAAAATTTTTTGAAATTTATTTATTAATTTTTGGTTAAATTATAATCATATATATTTTTTGGATACACTGTGATATGATATATGTATGCATGTGAAATGTATACGTGTGGAATGGCAGAATCAAACTAACATATCCATCACCTTAAATACTTACCATTTGTTCCTCCTGCTTAACTGCAACTTTGTACTCTTTAACCAACATCTCCTTATTCCTCCCCATCCCCACCCAATCTCTGGTAACCACCTACTGCTTTCTGCTTCTATTGAGTTCAGTTGTTTTAGATTCCACATATAAGGAAAACATGTGGTTTTTGTCTTTCTATATAATTGGGCCTTATTTTAGATAGTCTTCCTCTTGGCCTTGAGTTATTTTATTTAAAATTAGCCTGAAGCTTTTTTTTTATATTAAACTGAGGGAAGACATTGTTCCTGTCTTTGATGGCAGTTCGTCCTAAATTTTACCAATAACTGTACACTTTTTGGTAAGTTTTATCTTGTATCTATTGCATCTGTTGGGATGCTTATAGAGTTTTTCTTCTCTTATCTGTGAATATGGCATTATTGGTAGATTTTCTGAACCATTTATGATAACCAGGGCAAAACCTATTTGTTCTTAGTGGATTTTCATTTACGCTATAGAATTAGTCCATATTTAAAGGATATTTGTAACTGTGTTCATAAATGAGGTTAGTCTGTAATTTTCTCTTCTTCTAGTGTGTTTATTTTAATTTGGAATCAAGGATAGATATTCTAGCCTTATAAAATGAGAGTCATATCTATCTTAGTGTGGAAGAAACTCATGATATTACCTCCCCTTGAGGCATTTGCAATCAATTTAAGTTAAAACTCTTAACTGGGAGGAAAAATATTTTTAACTTTAAAGAATTTTGAGACATAAACCTAACATAGCGGGTTCCCTTTAACCAACCCTATGCCTTTTTTTGGTTGTGGGACTGCAAGAAGAAAGTAGGGGATAGAGAAAATGTTGGTAAAGAATAAGGTTGTTTCCATAAGGCTCTGTCATAGCAATGCAATTATTTTGGTGATTATCTTTGTTTTTTGTCAGACCTATGGTTTAATAAATTGGGATTAAGAAGATAGCAGGTTGATGGCATTAGTTAGGGAAGATATTATGAGAGAAGGTGTTAAATGAACAGAGAAAAAGGCTCTTGCACCAAAGTTAAAGGTGATCTGATATTTACTTAGTTTATTTACCAAATGTCCTTTATAAAGGCAAAAGGGTAGAACTTCTTCTTCAGGCCCCACTATTACCCCACTGGTTGCATTAAACCATTTATGACCTCATTCTTTATCTGAGTCTTTCCTTGGGGCTAGTTTTAGTCATATTTTTATCTCTATAAAACATCAGGATGGGAGGTGGTGTGTGTCTGTAGTCTCAACTGCTAGGGAGGCTGAGGCAGGAAGACTTCTTGAAAACAGGATTTCAAGGCCAGCCTATGCAACATAGTGAGACCCTATCTCTCTGAAAAAAAAAAAATCTGGGGAGGTAGCTGTGGCTTTACATGTGATTTGACCCATATTTCATCTTATTTAATCCTGTAAAAAATAATTTAAAAAACAAATGTTAGGAACTTTAATCTTGGGGCTTCTTAACTGTCTGATGTGACTGATGATGTAATTTCTTTAAAGAGAATATGCTTACTTTTTTTGTTCTTCTAATTGTATGATAATTTTAATCAACACAACTTTTAAGCATATACAATGTACCAGGTAAGATATATGTATGTATGTGAAATATATGTGTGTGAAATGATAGAATCAAATGAATGGATATGTAGAGACAATATTCTTAAGGAGTTTGAGCTCTCCTTTTCCATCTTTGCTCTTTATGGCCCTTTCCTTTTCTGATATCCAAGCACTTTTGTTTCTCTTTGCCTCTCTGTCAAAGCAAAGAGACTTTTAAAGGAAAGTTTGAGTCAAACCTAAGCTGCTTCCATTGAGAAGAATTAGTATAGTTTTCTGACCATGGGCCTATTGTTTGTTTAGAATGCAGCATTAATAAGGGCACAATGCTAGCCTTGATTTTTATATGGACCAATTAACTTTTCTCTTTTCCATGACTTTGGATCACTACTCTAATGATTGATACTTGCTAAAGACCAGGTGAGAGGAGTTGGTTGCAAAATGTTAGAAAAATAGGACAAATTGCATTCTTGCCTGGTATCATTCTTATTTATAAAAGGCAAACCATTACTTAAGGGCTTTGCTTTAAAACGATTATTATTAAAATAAGTTGTAAAGGAATGTGGAAAAAAGAAAAGGTAATGAAAAGGATTTTCTTATGTTATTTATTTTTTTCTTTCTGTATTAGTTAATTCTTAAGAATGTCTTCTCCATGTCATTTAGTTTCCTTTTTAATACCTTTGGATGCAAGATTGAGCTTTGCTGGCCTTTATTTCTTGTTCCTCAGGTGTTAGTGCCAGCTTTGGCAACCTCATTGTCAGTGCTGGCTCAAATGAAGGAATGGCTGAAGGCTCCTTTTGGATACCCACTTCACTGGTTATTTTAATTGCTCAGAGGGATAATTGTTGAGTGGTGCCATAGGATAGTATTTCCCTTGCCACAGGGGTTAGGAATTCTGCCCAATAATCACTCCTATTCCTGCTGGATATGTGTCTGTGAGTGAAAAGACATAACTGGCTTGAGATATATCCCTAAAGCTCTATGTAGGGAACCTGTTAGATTAACTTTTGGAAACTGATGGAGTCATCATGGATACTTTCCTATTGATCTTTTGTAGAAACAACAAATTTGCAAAGCTTAAAATTAGCTTCTTAATTATCTTACTCTAGGACACCTTCTCATGTAGTGTCCTCGGACTACTTTTCTTTGCTTTCCTCTTTCACAGACAAAGCTGTTGGAGGAACAATAGGTATGTAAGTGATAGGGATTGGACTTCCAAAGAATTTTTATTTTCACTGCTATTGTGGCTATATCTGCTGTTGTAAAGGGCCATGAAATACTGTTTTCTGGTATTCTGTGGAATAAAACTGTCTATACTTTCTAAGACACAGTATTGAACAAAATTCTGGGTCTAGTATCCATTAGATAGCTCCTCAAACTTAGCTGCTTTTGTGAGTGGAAGGGAAGCATCTGAGACAAAAATGTTTGTAGTTTTGAAACCTCTTATTAAGGAATAACTGATTTACATTAATGTAGTACACAAAAATAATGGTGAACTTGTATGGGTCACATTTTAGGATTAGCTTAATAGTTGTAATTTCTAAAGTTGAAGTCAATGGAGATAAAGTATAATGGGGCTGTTTGTTAATTAACTTTTTAAGAATTTTTCTCACTTAATAAAATAAAAATGACATCAATTTTGAGTGGCTGTGTAGATAGCATTAATTAAAATGGAACAAAACAGAAGCTTCTGCTGAAGATCTTAGGGAGTCATCAAATGACCTTGACCTCTTTGCTAAGACTGAATATTTTAAAGGCCCCAGTTCTTCTTCATCCTTCCTTGTATTTATGACCTTTGCCATAAAACTTTACAGTGCCCTTCCAATATTGATAGGGCATTTGTCCTCACGACTTGACTCTGAGATCATTTAGCTTACATTGTCCAATGGGATGTTAACATATGTGACACATGTAGAGGCTTGTAGAAGCACTTGTACATGTCTGTTCACACTCTTGCTCTTTTCTGTTACTATGGAAGAACAATCCTGGGCTAGCCTGTTGGAGGATGAGACATATGGAGCAGAGTTGAATCATGCTAGTCCCAGCCAAGGCCAGCCAACCACAAGACATGTTAGTGAGCTCAACTGTAACCAGAGAGGTGTCCAGCTGACCTACAGACGCACAAGCTAAATAAATGCTTATTGTTGTAAGCCACTAAGTTTTGGGGTAGGCAAACCTGTAGCATTCTTCTGGCTATAGATAACTGATACAACCTCAAATAACCCTCCTTTTTAAAGGAGTCCATGGGACAGATATCACTGATGATCCTCAGTGATTTCTTGTTGTTCCAATGACAATATTTCATGTTAGTTTCAAGAAATTCCTAGAACAAGCTACTCAGGAGTATTCACTTAAGACTTGACTTAAAGTGGATTATGTTTTATCTGTAGGGAATTCTAAAGATATTTTCCATTCAGTCCACATATTAACCTAATGTATAGTAGCCTTATGGAGCACAGAACCATTTAGTTCATAAAGAAAGATAAAGCAGAAAATACCCATAAGTAGGCAAGTAATTGAGGTAAGTTCATATAGTAGGAAATGCAAAGGACAGTATATCCTTTGTCAAGAGCAATTTTGACTAAGGAGAGGTAGCAATGGTGGGTTCAGTAAAACAGAAGGCAAAAACAACGATTAGGAAAAGGAAACTTGATTTACCTTTGAGCTGGTTAAAGACAACATGGTGTAAAAATAGCGCTATGAACAAAGACTGAGCTTTCAAATCTTAGCTCCATTTACAATCTGCAAGCTCAACTTATTAAAGAGACAGAGGGATAAGGGATAGGTTGGGGAAGGTTGGATGAAAAGAGACAAAGAGTTGGTTTTGTTGGGGCATGGTTCTTTAATTCATTGTGCTTTGCAGTCAGATGACAGTTGCCTTTTCTAAGTTCAGGTTGTATATAGTATTGCTATTTCATTTACTTTCTTTTGTAATAGAAAGAAGTCTGCCTTTTAGTGATCATATGAAAAGTAGCTGGCTGAGAGTCTTCTGGACAGAAGTAGGGCCTTACTGAACATATCCAAACAATCATGGCCCTCCATACATCTGAAGCTGTATTCGGACAAGGGGTGTTAGATGGGGGACCTGTACTTGGTTAATTCATTATATTACTTGGAAAGGTCCTTATTATTGCGCACAGCAGTGTGGTCACCTGGCGGTAGGTCATTAGCATTTTAGTCTTCTTTTCCTCACAACAATGTACAAAATGCTAATTAGAGTATTCTGAAAGCTAAGTAACCTGTTTTAAAAATCAGACATTTTAATTTGCAGCTTTAATGGCTGTTTTATAATAACTGGCTTTATTGGGGGTAAAAGCACTTCTCATGTTCCACTAGCAAGGCAGAGTATAACAGAAGCTGACAAAATTAAAAACCTCATAATGCGACCTTTGCCTGGGATAAAAGGCTGTTTCATAACAATTTCCTTTTGTTCTTTGTTTAAGCCATTACTCTAAAAGGAGCCTCCGATTAATCTAAGTAAATGCATCATTACAGTACTAATCCATGTCCTTCTGTCAGTGTCTGTTTTAATTAAATAAGAAATGCTAGCAGAAAGATATCACGCACAAAGCTGTGATTGGAGAAAGAAGCACTGGTTGATCAAGGAAAAGATTAAAAAGAGCTTTAGTGTTTTGTCCATTTGCATAACTCCATATGCCACAGAGTTTCAGGTTGAAAAGAAAACTTACAAAAGAGTTTAGAACATTTCATTCTTATAGATTTAAAATAATGGGATTTACCAATGAAATTCTAATCATCCCATTTATCACGTTAGACATTTCACAGCAAGGAGCAGAACAGCTTGGGGTGTGTCTTTTAAACCTTTTATGCAATGTTGTCTTGTATCTGTGAAAACATACCTATCAAATTTGCATGTGTTTCTTCTTATTTTAGGTGAAGTTCATGGTGAAACCTGGTTGTGGGCATACAATATGATTTATTTTTTCTTTTTAAAGTGTCTTGCCACTTTTAGTTTTGCTTTTGTAAAAAAATGGCTTTCTATTGATAACACGTTAAGAACTTAGGTGTTTAATTGGTTGTTAACAATAAAAGTACATTTAATAATTGCTTATGAAATTGAATATCGTTACATTGTTACACAGAAACTCTTCTTAGCAGTAGTGTTGCAGAATTCCCGTGGTGAGGGCTTTCTTAATATACTGGCCATTATTTGATGTAATGAAAAGAGAAAGTGTACAACAATGAGATTGTTAATTAATTTAGCCTAACAAGATGAAGATAAATGAAGAGAAGCACAGATTGAATGAAGCAAGAGGTCTTATTTACAATTTAACACGTTTTTATATAATGCAGATTTCAGTTGGTAAAAAACAGACAGACCCTCACCCCAAGTACTCACTAAAAACAAAAGTATGTCTCCTCTCCACAATTCAACACTAAAATCTTGGTTTGACTTTACAGAAAACATGTACTGTCTCTAGATAGGAGACACCTTTACAGTGTGTAAACAGTGCTTTTCTTTGGCTAATAATCCTACACTAGTTAACCTTTAACTTCAGTATTTTGTTATTCCCAATGTAGACTGGAGATGACCATGAGAATAATTATCTAGAACCCTTTGGGTTTCTTGTTCTTCAGGTTATCCTGAGACATCTTGCTTTAGTTATTTAATAATAATTTTATTTTAATTCTTTTTTTGCCAAAGGAAAGAAGCTCAAAAGTGGGAAAAGAAAAGAAAAAACAAGCTCTGTGCCTTTTTACATGTGATTGAATCTGTAGCAATTGTACGGAATTCTTAAATTAGCATTATTTTTTAAGGTCTCTCTTTTAGTGATTAATGAGCTTTATCCAGTATTTGACCTTTTATCATTCTTGCTTTCTGCTCAGAAGTACTTCCTTCCTTCCTACTGTAGTTAGAAAAGACTGTCTCTTATCTTACGTTACTGTAGGCAGTGGTAACAGGGCTCTCTACAAATGGCGTTATTATGGTCACTATGTTTTTATCTCAGAGGTCACGAACAAATCCATGCAACTGCTTCTAAGGATTTCAATAAATAGGACTTTTTATCCAGACAATCGCCTTTTATGTTACTTTTAAACAAAACTACTAGTCCATCAAGAGTTTCAAAAGAAAACAATTCTACAGAGTGCCGGTATGGCCGCACAGACCAATCATCATGGCACCCATTCTCCAGTCCTTTATTTTTCAAGTCCACAACAATAGGTTGTTGATTCAATGGACAAGACCAGAACAATTAAGTTCTCTGTTTAGCAGCAGTGCAGCATTTTAATGCCCTACTCTAATAATGGTCTCATTATTGTTATTCTAAGACTGGGCCTCAGGAGGAGGAATATTTGCTGGAGGTACGTCATTATTTTGCAAATTTCGATTAGCTCATCATGTTGTCTGTAGTGTGAAAATCGTAGCTAATTAGGGCAGCCAGTTAGACTACCAGCTTTTGAGCTTATGAGTTAAAAGGTAGCATACTTGATAGGCCAGTGATGTGAAAAAGGTGGTAAAAAAGGAGGATTAGAGCAGTTGCCTTAGTAACTCCAACTTCCATCTGTGAGGGAACAATGGACTTGTGTTTCTCCCCTACCTTGGTGTAAAAATTGGTTTTGTTTTGAAAGGACAGGGTTCTTTTTATGACAATCTGGAATTCAGCCCAACTGAGTGTAGTTTTAGTTGTTAGGAGAGACCATTGGGGATAGGAAAGATGAAAGGTCATGGTGAGCTTCAAGGACATGAAAGGTTGTTGTCTCATGTAACAATGGTAGATTGTTTTTTTTTCTAATATTTCTAGCCAGCCCCTAAGTCAGGTGATGGAACAAATACCTACAGTTTAGTCAGGTGAAACAGGAGGGGGTGGAGGAAGGAAAGAAGAAAAATGGGGTAACAGAAAGTTTGTATTTTGTTAAAAAATATGAAAGGGTAACTCCAGTTTGCTTTTATTAAACAAAGTGATATTTCTTTGTCACCATCTCTGAGATTACAGTATGCTTTGGGTGGTGTGCCTCTGTGGGCCATCACAACTCTGGGAAGCTCTCCAATGTGTTAGGAAATGTGATTTAAGCTTTCTTCCTGAACTCCCAGGAGACCAGTGATGTGATACTTAACAATAAATTTAGTTGTTGTAGCTTTCTCACATTATTGGTGTTCTTAAAAGGTTTTCCTTCAAATGTACACTGAACAAAATGAATGATAAATATGAAAGAAATTTGTTTCACCACTGTACCGGGTTTTATCATAAATTCTATGGCTTCTATCACAGAAAGTTTACAGGAAACTGTTTAGATATTGCTGCAATAGCGACACAAATTTTTCTATATGTACATAAGAAAATGCCACAAATTTAAGAGCTATTGGGGGTTTGTTTCTACAGAGGAGGCAATAGAAAAACAGTGAATACAGTGTATTATATATATATGTTTTAAACCCTCAAAACCAAATCACCCTTTCTGAGTTTAAAACCCTTTATTTCAGCAAAATGAGTGACTTGTATTTTCCTTCCATATCAAAATTAAAACATTTAGGGTTGTTGTTGGTGGTGTGTATGTATGTTTTAAGAACTACAGAGTGTATAGGACAAGTGTACTTTATTTTTTCTAAGCAAAAAAAATCATCTCTTGATGATTTAAGAAATCTTTATACTTCTTCTTCTCTATTGTCCCAAAAAAACCTTTGTGTGGTTGAAGCTGGACTTGGTCCAGGGGGTTGGGGAGATTTTCAAATTCTCTTTTAATCCTTGGTCTTTGTTTTCTTGTTCTAGCCAACCATCCTATTGCTGTAGCCTTTATTCTTTTGAGAAGCTGTGTTCCTTTGATTTATTGTAGTTACCTCATAGACTTAAAGTAATATAATGGAACTTTAGAGCTTAATGACTTTTGAGGTCTCCTAGTTCAAATCTTATATCAGAGAAATTTAGAAAGTGAGACTGGAAAGTTGAAATGACTTGCCCAAGACAACTTAACTAATTAGAGCTAGACAGCTGCCATTTGCTACCTAGTTTAAATATAAACACTGAAATAAAAAGAAGACTGGAAAAGCATTATAAAAACATGTCTAACTTGTTTACCGGTAGTTTTAATGGTTGAAGGGAGATGGAATAAAGCTAACATCTGGTAGTGGTGGTGGGGTTTGGGATTCAGATAAGATTTTTTTTGGTAACTATGAAAGCTCCATTTTAAATAAATGGAGACTTTTTTTTTTTCCTATCAAAAACAAACAACAAACAACAGCAGCAACAACAAACTCCAGCCTAACTGGGAAGGTACTAGCATAGGATCCAGAATCTGCAAACCTTTCTTGGTCCAGGCACTGTGTGAGATACATTCATAAGCATTTTTCTAATGTAAAATTTGAACACTATTTCTAGTGTGGTAAATTCGTTAACTGTTCTTTTTCCTAGTTTTTGTATTTGTAGAAAGGGACCCAATGTTACTCAATTTCATTAGATGCTATGAGACATAAGAATTGGTATATGATTAAAAAATGTAATATACATTTGGCAGAATATTGTAAGATTGCAAATTTGTGCTTTATGAAAACACAGATATCAGAAAAACAAATATGGACTATAATATTTAGATCAATATAAAGGCCATGGTTTATTTTCGGAACCATTCAGAAAGGATTTAGAAATTTGGGACTATATTTAATCATAAAGGAGAAAATAAAATAACCCATAATTTTACCTTATTATTTCATTATGAAATTTACTTCCTAGTAATATTTTGGTATATTTCATGTAAGTGTTTTATCTATGTATGTATGAGAAGAAAGAACATGTCTAGCTTGTTTACTGCCCTCTCTCTGGTGCCCATAATAGTGCCTGACTCATAGAAGGTACTTAAAAAATAGTTGTTGAGCAAATGAAAAAATTTTTTTGCAAGATTGGATCATATTGTAGGTACATTTTTATATTTAAAAACTCATTGAATTTTTTTTATGTTAATAGTCTTGTAGAACATTTTAAATCACTACATCTTACACTGTCATATGGATGTACCACAATTTGTTTTACCATTACGTTACTGACTTACAACTTTTCAGTATTATAGTACAAAAGCCCACTTATAAGCATATTTTGTTTATTATTAAAGTGGTAAAAATGTTAAAATGGATGAAAAATAACTCCCATGATTGTAGTATAATAATCTCACCAAACTTTGTCACCTCTTTCAAGTTTTTCTTCAATGTCTTCTTAGTGAGATCTACCTTGACCATCGCTTTTAAAATTGCAACCCTCGAAACAGTCCTGTTCTCTCTAGTGCTGTTCTGTTTGTTTCCAGAATTTTTTTCAATATTGAACATAACATATAATTTGTGTATCTTTTAGATGTATCGCTTTTCTGTCCAACTGGAATATAAGGTCTATGATGGCAGGTAATGTTTGACTGTTTTTGTTGCTCATATTACCAATGTCTTGAACAAAACCTAGAACATTGTACATGTTCAGCAACATTTATTGAATGGTTTATTGAAACTTTAAAAAATGAAACTTTCAAAAATTCAACATTCTTACTTCAGTTTCAGAATCCTCTTTTCTTCACATGGGCAACTCTCATCAACCAATTTTTTGCACTGGCTAAAACTTCCATTTTCTCCCTTTGAACGTGTACATGTTATCCAGTTAAATCAAATCATGGCACTTGATTGAATTTAGGCCAATGTTGGGTAAAGTCAAATGTCTTGTAACAAATACCCCAAGCTTTTACCCTTCGAGTCAGTCTGAACTCTGTCTTTAGGTAGGTGGATGGTTTTAGATGAATAATGTCACCAGCATCACTCCAAATAATTCCCTTCCTCATCTGGAAGTCCTTCTGGTAAGAATCTTGAGGCTTAGGTCTGAACTGGGCAAACACAGGTTAATCTGATTATTTATCTGTACTTTGGGATGATTTTACCTTAGTCTTACCCTAACTAATATTGGTCATATTCTTAAAATTTCTTTAGGAAAGACATTTTATAAATTTTATTTGCTGTTTCACTGTGTATGGTTTATAGTTTTCTTTAAAAATAATATAGTACTTGGGAGGCTGAGGTGAGAGAATTGTTTGAGTTTAGTCATGTGAGGTTGCAGTGAACTATAATAGTGCCACTGCATTCCAACTTGGTCAATAGAGTGAGATCTAGTTTCTTGAAAAAAAAATAATAATACAAAACAATAAACATATTACCACTTTATTTGTGGATATGTTAATTAAAATCTTTTATACAATAGCAATTTATATAGCTACAGTAATCCCTTACATTTATATGGTATTTATAGTTTCAAAGCTTTTTAATAAACAGGATCCTGTTTAATTATAACCCTATGAGACACACAGGACCTGGTTTATTATATTCGTTTTGCAGATGAGGAACCAAAGCACAGATCCCGTTAAGAGACTTAGTCTAGATCATAAATCTAGGAAGTGGAAGCAAGACCATGAAAAATCTAAGTTTTTTGAGTTCTACTAGTTCAGTACTTTTTTTTTCTTTCAGTCACTTTAACTTTCTCTCATAATCATGTTTTGAATCATCTTTTTGTTGACCTTTCTTAAAAGATTCTATGAAAATGAAACTAAATGATTAGAATTTATTTTTTTAAAATTTTATTTCGGTCTGCTATTCATTCTGGTTCTCAAGGGTTTTCCTTTAGTTTTTTGTGGTTCTTTTTTTTTTTTTTTTTTTTTTTAATAGTCTTTATCTTTTCCTTCATTCTGGCTATGAACATGGCCTTTTGTAGCAATTTGTGAAACTACTGGCTGCCATGTCTGCCTTTCGACCTTATAGAGGAAAGACATGAAACAGGAGATTAGAGTTTCATGAAGCAGAGAAAGGAAAAAAAAATCTAGGGTAAGTGGTGCTCAGAGACATAGGTAGCTTGGCCTCAATAAGACCCATAGATAAAAAGTGTGGTTAAAGGACTGATGCTAGTATTTTTCTATAATGGAGTAGAATTTTTGGTGTCAATTGTCCAATCTTTTAGCTAATACATTGTGTCTGTGGTATTAACTTTCTCCTGAGGCTGCTGCTGTCCTAGTAGACCCTTACTACACTGTCCCACACCTGCTGTGGTGAATAGGACTTACTTTTCACATCCAGAAATGTGAAATGGACAAGTAGCTAAGAGGCCAGGGAATGGTCATCGTCTTAGATGGACTACTGGCACTCAGGTACAGAAAAACAAGGTGGAATCTTAGTTATTGGAATGAAGGCAAAAAGTCAAGGTCAAATGAGTAACAAGGTACATAATTTTATTCTGAGTTCTAAGGAATTATGTTGGAGTCCTTCTTAGGTGAATTTAAGGTGGTCCTAGAGCATTGGCTCTCTAACTTTTGAGGTATGTAAGAATCACTTGGGTGGTTAGGACTTATAATGTGGGGGCCAGGTGTCTATATTTTTTGCAAGCATCCGAAGTTACTCTGATGCAAGTGTTTATAGATTGAATTTGCAGAAAATTTCCATAAAACCTAGGATCACATTTATTGTAGGATAAGGGGCCATGTCACTACAACTGTTGAGAGAGGGGGCATTTGGAATTTGAAAGTCAGACCTTTCAACTAAGAGAAAAATGTATGTCTTGTGCCAGAGCTGAGTTTTGTTTATCTGCATGTAAGAAAGCAATAAACATGGGCTGGTATGCACTGGACTGGTGTGCTGTAAATCTGTTAGGTTTTTCTCCTTATATATCTTGTTTCTTGTGTTTATGACCTGAATGCTTTTGTACTATCTAACAAAGATTTATACCTTTTAGTGTAAAAAAA